GAGGCATTCCCTGGCTCTCTCCTCCTGAGGGAGTCACACTCCCATCAGCCCCAGAGCCAGCTCCCTGGCCCAAGGTGGTGGCTGTCACCCGTGCACCTGTGCCCCCTCCCCGGCCCAGGATGGTGGCTATCACCCACGTGCCCACGGCCTCCTCCCGGCCCAGGATGGTGGCTCTCACCCATGCGCCTGTGCCCCCTCCCCACCCCCAAGGTGGTGGTTGTTACCCGCGCTCCTGTGGCCTCCACCTGGCCCAGGGTGCTGGCTGTTGCCCGCATGCCCTTGGCCTTTGCCTGCCTGTGTGTGACCAGCCCTCTCCCAGCATTTACACTCTGGACTCTCCATCCCAGCTGCCCTTCCAGGCTCTGTGCCACCTGCCAGGCCCTCTACCCCAAGTGTCCGGCCACACCCTCAGCTGCACAGACACCCCAGCCACTGACCAGGTGGTGTCTGGACTCAGACCATCGCCTTGCCAGGCAGCACGGGCATGGTATGGCATTGCTGTGTCCTCCCCGTCCCCGTACCAAGGGTGGGCTCTCAGTGTCTCCTGGCAACTATGGGAACGATGTGGTCTATTTAGCACGTAGCGAGGCGGGGGCTGCTGTGGAGGGCCACAGGTGCTGGCTGAGTGTGCCCCTTCCACCGCCCCTCTTTGTTCTGCACTCCCAGCTGCTGCCAGGAGGCATGTGTCTGGCGGCAGAAGCCGGGCCTGTGCCCTGTCTGTGGCCAGGCAGGGCTGGAGTGCTGTTGGCTGCTGGTGCCCAGAGCCATCCCATGGCCACAGTGGATGTGGCAGTGGAGCCACTGGGCCACCAGCAGATGGCATCCAGATGTGGGCCAGCCCCTCTATGCCAGCAGCTGGTATCACCCGCAGAGTTGCTGGGAGTCACTGGCTGGCCCTGTTTTTTTAAAGATTTATTTTTTATTATTTTTTTTATTGGAAAGGCGGATAGACAGAGAGGAAGATCTTCCATCTGATGATTCACTCCCCAAGTGAGCGCAACGGCCACTGCTATGCCGATCCGAAGCCAGGAGCCTCTTCCGGGTCTCCCACGCGGGTGCAGGGTCCCAAAGCTTTGGGCCGTCCTCAACTGCTTTCCCAGGCCACAGGCAGGGAGCTGGATGGGAAGCGGGGCCACCAGGACTAGAACCGGCACCCATATGGGATCCCGGGCGTGCAAGGCGAGGACCTTAACCACTGTGCCACCGCGCCGGGCCCTCTGCTAGCTTTTGTATGAGAAGCAGCTGTGCTGAAAACTCCAGAGTGGGATTACCCGGGCAGGATTCTTGGCATATTGCCCCATTGATTGACTCGCTCTCTGCCCATCCTCTGTGCCCTCCTGGCGCGGCCTGGCCCTAGCACCCACCTCTTCTCCTGGCTCCCCTGCCCAGAGTGGGCAATCTGCCCCTCATGCACCTGCCCAGCCCCCTCCTGCCTCCTTCTGGCTGTGCTGCTTATCAGCATCCATCCCTGCCCTGTCCCAGGCCCACTGCTTGTCCACGGTGCCCTTAACTGCTGGGGAGTGTCTCGCTTCTGGTCCAGGAGGCGTTGCCATAGAAACCTGTGGGATGAGGCAGCATCTGGGCCAGAGTCTCAGTAAGCAGGTGCTCCCGGGGCCCCTGCAGGAAGGGGTTGTGGAGGAGTGCAGTGGTACCTCCGGCCCAGCACGGCCCTGTCTCCATCACATGTTCCCCCTGGAGTCCCTGGAGCTGCGTTTGGGGACAGCACAGGAGCTGAGCAGAAGCCTGAGGGTGCTGGGCATGACTGTCTGGGTGTGGCCCTGCCTATCAGGGAGGCACTCACCCCTGCACTGCCCTCACGGGCCCCGGGACTTTGGGTGTCCAGCCTCCTCGTCTTTGGGAGGACTAAGTGCTGCTCCATCAGGCTGTCCTCAGGGTTGCACCCCATGGGAGGTGCAGCCACACTGTGCTCTGGGCCTGGGTGTCTCCTGTTCACCTCTGGGCTGGAAGCCCGCGGCTGTCAGAGCAGTGTGGACCAGCCCTGGGGCCTTCCTCACCCCCTCACAAGAGGCTGCGGGCCTGTGCCTGCCCTCTCACCATGGCGGGACTCGGGTGAGGGGCTCAGCTTGGCCTCTCACCATGGCGGGACTCGGGTGAGGGGCTCAGCTTGGCCTTTCACCATGGCGGGACTCGGGTGGGGGGCTCGGCCTGGCCTCTCATCATGGCGGGACTCGGGTGGAGGGCTCGGCCTGGCCTTTCACCATGGCGGGACTCGGGTGGGGGGCTCGGCCTGGCCTCTCACCATGGCGGGACTCGGGTGGAGGGCTCGGCCTGGCCTCTCACCATGGTGGGACTTGGGTGGGGGGCTCGGCCTGGCCTTTCACTATGGCGGGACTTGGGTAGGGGGCTCGGCTTGCCCTCTCACCATGGCAGAACTTGGCAGGCGGCTCAGCACATGGTGCTCCCCAGAAGTGTGATACAGAGAACACTGTAGAAAAGTAGAAGTTTTTCATTCCTACTAGCTTTTTTTTTTTTTTCTTTTTACAAAGCATCTAGAAGTTTGCCCTCTGTAGATAGCCGGCTATCAGATAAGTCAGGAGGTTAAGACCAAAGGTTGCTGGCACAGACCATGAAAGAGGAGAAGGGGAGTGTCGGATGTGGCCAGCCAGGCACTGGGGGATAGCAACTGCCCAGTGGGGTGAAGGCCTTTGCTTAAGTCAAGGGGTCACTCGTGGTGGCGGCACCAGGAAGACTTTCCCAAGGCTTGGGCACCATGCCCTTCCCACCATGACCTGGACTTTGGAGTGTCGCCCATCTCCCTCAGTCCTGAGCCATGTTCTGGACAGGAGCAGGGCCAGACTGGCATTGCTGGGGCCTGGGAGCAGGCATGGTGTGCACCATGTGAGGCAGCTCCCTGGCAGGTGGACTAACAGCCAAAGGCCCTTCCACTGGGACTTCCCGTGCTGAAGGCCCAGCTGCCCAGGCTGGCCCGTGCCCAGGAGGCACGTTTGCAGAGCTGGCTGCTGTCGAGGGTGAGTGCAAGGCATGGGGGCACTGTGGACCCGTGGGGTTACTCTCATTCTACTCTGTAATTACACGTCCATGTGCCCCTCACGTAATAAACGTTTTTAAGCCAAGGAAACCATTCTGGATCTGGCTGGGATTTTTTGTGTTTTTAGTTTCCTAATGAAGCAACACCATCTGCTAGTTCATTGCTAAATGCCCATAGCAGCTGAAGCTGGGCAGAGTTCAAACCAGAGCCTTCATTCACCCAGGTGTGAGGGGTCCAGGTGCCTGGGCTGTCACCAGCAGGGAGTGGGATCCAGGCTTCCCACCTTGGGACTTGGGTGTGTTACACTCTAGAATAGCTATGGGCCCCTGGACCTGGTCTCTCCAGTCTTGGTGTACCCACCCTTGTTGGGCGTAGGTGCGGGGAGCAGGAGGGGCCCACGGGACATCCAGAAGGGTGTCCAGTGTGGCCCTTGCCTCCATGTCCCTCTGGAGCTGGTGTGTCCTTGGACCCCTTCGGCAGAAGCAAGTAGAAATGTGGGCCTGCCTCTGCCTGCAGGCGCTTGGCAAGATGCATTACTCACTGGGAGGTTTGGGTTTAATGTTCAACCTGGCTTGGGGCAGCCGGGCAAGGGCCAGCACGGCTCAAGCCTGCAGTTGCTGACTGGCCTGGGAAGGGCAGGCTTCCCTGGGCTTGCCCTGGATGAGCTCTAGCTGACCCACTGCCTTGTGTTCTGGGACAGAGCCAGCCAAAGGTGCCCTGCCGGTCTCTCTCTTCCTGGGGAGGAAGGGGCTGGACTTTCCAGGAATGCACAGTGGGACGGTGTTTGCACTCTTCTCAGAAGCCCTTGGTTTGGCTTCTTTCCCATGGGGACCCTTGCGACGGCAGCCTCTGAACTTAGGCCAGAAAGAACCGAAAGCAGACATTTGGGCTTCACTGCACAGCAGCAGAGAGGTGGAGCAGCTGGGCTCCGCCTGCAGCCCAGACGGCCACAGTGTGGTCTGTCCATGCCCCCATTGGCAGGGAGCCCTGGCAGGCCTGCACAGGGGCTGTATGCCAGGCGAGCCTCTGTGACCCCACTGCTGGGTGCGGGGAGGTGGGAGCCAGGGTTTACAGAACGAGAAGTCCCTAGTCCGGCACTGTGGAGGTGCTGCCTGGCACTTCAGCAGGATCCCCATCATGTGTGTTTTTCCACATGAAGCAGAGGGGTGCTGTCTGGACGCTGTCCTGTGAAGGGAAGGATGCATGCCGAATGCTAACAGTTGTGTGTGTTTGTAGATTCATTCATGTTGCAAAGAAGAGTGACAGAGAGAGATCGTCAGTCCACTGGTTCCCTTCCCCAGGGTCGAGCCAAAAGTCGGGCCCGTGTGGGTGCAGGGTCTCCTGTTCTTAAGTCACTGTCTGCAGCCTTCCAGGCACATTCCCAGGGCGCTGAATCTGTTATGGGATCTTCTCCGATGCTGTCATGTGGGACACAGGCTTCCCAGGCAGTGGCTCAGCCTGCAGGGCCACAACCCTTCCAGCATTTCTTGGTAGCAAGAGAATAGGCTTTGAGAGCATAGTAACAGCTTTATTTACTTACTTGAAAGGTAGAGTGACAGAGAGCGATTTCCCTTCCACTGGTTCACTGCTCGAAGTGGCCACAGCAGCCAGGGTTGGGTCAGGCCAAAGCAGGAGCTCCAGCCAGGGAGAGCCCAGCTCCTGGGCCACCCTCCACTCCCTTTCCCAGGAGCATCAGCAGGGAGCTAGATCAGAAGTAGAGTAAGCCCAATGGAAGGCTGGCAGCTCTGGGCCGTGGTGCAGGCCTGGGCATGCTGGCTCAGGTTTCTCAAGCCTCAGAGCTGGGATGCCCCTTGCAGTGCTTGCCAGGGCTTCCCGCACTGCAGCCCCAGGTAGGTCTCGTCGCATCCCAGTGCAGTTGTGGGCCCCCTAGGAGGGGTGTTCTTTTACTTCACAGAAAGTCGCCCCAGGAGGGTGACTTGTGACACATCCAACACGTGCAGTGAAAGTGTCTTTCACCCTGCAGGGTACAGCATGTCAGGTGGGCTTCCAGAACAACCCCCGCGAGGGCGCTGCTCGGTCTAGCCGCCCCACCACCCTTCCAGGCACCCCAGGCACCATGGACGCCCCTGGATACAACTGCTTTGTGGACAGAGACAAGATGGACGCTGCCATCCCAGACCTGGGGCCCAAGGAGCTGAGCTGCTCTGAGCTGCAGGAGCTGAAGCAACTGGCACGGCAGGGCTACTGGGCGCAGAGCCATGGCCTGAGGGCAAAGGTGTACCAGCGTCTGATCCGAGACATCCCCTGCCGCACGGTCACACCAGACGCCAGTGTGTACAGCGACATCGTGGGCAAGATCGTGGGCAAACACAGCGGCAGCAGCCTGCCCCTGCCCGAGTTCGTGGACAACACACAGGTGCCCAGCTACTGCCTGAACACACGGGGCGAGGGTGCCGTACGCAAGATCCTCCTGTGCATTGCCAACCAGTTCCCTGACATCTCCTTCTGCCCCGCCCTGCCCGCCGTGGTGGCACTGCTGCTGCATTACAGCCTGGACGAGGCCGAGTGCTTCGAGAAGACCTGCCGTATCCTGGCCTGCAACGACCCTGGCCGGAAGCTCATCGACCAGAGCTTCCTGGCCTTCGAGTCGTCCTGCATGACCTTCGGGGACCTGGTGAACAAGTACTGCCAGGCGGCCCACAAGCTCATGGTGGCCGTGTCCGAGGACGTCCTCCAGGTTTACTCGGACTGGCAGCGCTGGCTCTTCGGCGAGCTTCCCCTCAGCCACTTTGCCCGTGTTTTCGATGTCTTCCTGGTGGAAGGCTACAAGGTGCTCTACCGTGTGGCCCTGGCCATCCTCAAGTTCTTCCACAAGGTGAGAGCCGGACAGCCCCTTGAGTCGGACAACGTGAGGCAGGACATCCGTGCCTTTGTCAAGGACATCGGCCGGACTGTGTCCCCAGAGAAGCTGCTGGAGAAGGCCTTCGCCATCCGCCTCTTCTCCCGCAAGGAGATCCAGCTGCTGCAGATGGCCAACGAAACAGCTCTGAAGCAGAAGGGCATCACAGTGAAGCAGAAGAGGTAGGTGGGGAGCCCGGGGCCTCCTGGGCTGCAGTGCCATCTGTCTCCGTGTGTGGAGCATGGAGGGCCTCCCTGGGTACGGCCTGGCAGAGTAGGGTTGGGAATGAGGCCCCAGCCTGAGCGGGAAGGGCTGAGGGCGCCCCAGCCGTGGGTGTACTGACTGCCATGCTGTGGGCATGGCCTGAGGCACAGGCGTCCAGGGCCCTGCTGGGCACTAACCTCTGCTTGTCTGTTTTCTTTTCCTTATTCTTTGTGTCCATTGCTTCCTCCTGTTTCTCAGTGTCTCGCTTTCTAGAAGGTAGGTCTGAAACCACAGCTCCACGCCTGGCTGCCCTGTCCCTCTGCTGGCCGGCTCTGCTGCCCTGTCCCTCTGCTGGCCGGCTCTGCTGTCCTCCCTCTGCTGGCTGCCTCTCCCCTGCTGGCTTCCGCAGGGCTGTCTGTCCATCGTTGGCCTCTGTCTACCTCTGTGGCTCTCTCTGCTGTGATAGGCTGTCCCAAAGAGTGTCTCGCCACAGCTGACTCTTCCTGTGCCCTGAGTTCCTAGAAAAAGGTGCTCTGTCCCCAGTGGGCTGGGCACTGCCCCCTCTTGGGAGTGGGTCGGGAGGTGGGCCCAGGGAATGGCCCATCGGGTTCCTGCCACGCCAGCTCCTGGGATTAAGCTGTGTGCCTGGTCAAGCAGGTGACATGGGCTCCCAGGTTTAACTGCAGAGGCCGACTCTGGGGTGAGGGCACAGTCGGGGCCAGGGCCGGCTCAGCCCTGTGCGCTCTCCCCAGGCAGTTTGTGCACCTGGCCGTGCACGCTGAGAACTTCCGCTCAGAGATCGTCAGTGTGAAGGAGATGAGAGACATCTGGTCCTGGGTCCCCGAGCGTTTTGCCCTCTGCCAGCCGCTCCTGCTCTTCTCCTCCCTCCAGCACGGCTACAGCCTAGCCAGGTGAGAGGGCTGCACGGCAGCCTGGACGTCTGGCAGCCTGCCTCTTCCCGGGGCCTGAGCCCGGGACCTCCTTTTTGGGCTCCTGGCATTTCCAGACCTCCTGGACTTGAGGCTTGCTGCACTTTGCACCCCAGGTTGGAGCCCTTCTTGGGGGCCAACATGCAGGAGGCAGAATCTCCCAGCCTTGGTTGGAGGAGAACCCCGTGGGGACTGACCCCAACCTCACCGTCTGCCCTAGTCCCTGCCCAAGTTGGTCCCCAATGAGCACAACCCCTCGGTGTGCTGGCCACTGGGCACCCTGCCCCAAGGCGACTGTTCAGGGTGTATTGGTGACCTTCTCACCCCCTCACGTCATCCAGCGGTTGACCAGGTGACACAGCAGAGCTGGCCAAGCCCCCAGCCCAGCCCCAGTCGTGGCCCGTGGGCACTGTGACAGAACTTCACCCGCCCCCACCAGGGACCCCGCCAAGTGCTGAGCACCGTGCTGGCCGCCCCGAGCTGCCCCCTGCACTGGCTTCCGAGGACACGCTGAGCCTGCTGTGGCCAGGACCTGCTCCTCTGGTTCTCTTCCCAGGGGCTCCTGGCGCCGGGCTCTGCCCGTAAGGACATCTGCGAGGAGGCCCTTCCTGGCATCACAGGGGAGTGGCCTGGGCCGACAGAGAGGGGCCAGATGCCCAGGGGAGAGGGAGCCATGGGCAGCCCAGGCCGAGGGGAGGTGTGGGGAGGCCTGCAGGCTGCTGCGGCCATCAGCAACTCCATGCTCTCGGGCCAGGTTTTATTTCCAGTGTGAAGGACATGAGCCAACCTTGCTGCTCATCAAGACCACGCAGAAGGAGGTGAGGGGCTGGGAGCGTCCTCTGAGCTCAGGGGCGGGGCCTGGGGGCTGTGGGAGGGGCCGGGGGGCGGGAGCGTCCTCTGAGCTCAGAGCCGGGGCGGGGCCTGGGGGCTGTGGGAGGGGCCTGGGGGGGCGGGAGCATCCTCTGAGCTCAGGGGCGGGGCCTGGGGTTTGTGGGCGGGGTATGGGGGCGGGAGGGTCCTCTGAGCTCAGGGGCGGGGCTTGGGGGCTGTGGGAGGGGCCTGGGGGCGGGAGCGTCCTCTGAGCTCAGGGGCGGGGCCTGGGGGGCTGTGGGAGGGGCCTGGGGGCTGTGGGAGGGGCCTGGAGGCGGGAGCGTCCTGTGAGCTCAGAGCCGGGGCGGGGCCTGGGAGCTGTGGGCGGGGCCCTCACAGCCAGTATCCTCCCAGGTGTGCGGTGCCTACCTGTCCACAGACTGGAGCGAGAGGAACAAGTTTGGAGGCAAACTAGGCTTCTTTGGGACAGGAGAATGCTTTGTGTTCAGGGTGAGTGCGGCTAAGCGGGCCCCCAGGGCCGCCCTACCACCACGCCCTGTCCTGTGTCCCCCTCTTCCCCCTGTGTAGTCCCTGGGGTGAGAAGGGGAGCAGGAAGGGCCCAGGGGCTCGGTGTGCGGCGGCTCACGCTGCCCTCCCCTCAGCTGCAGCCCGAGGTGCAGCGCTATGAGTGGGTGGTCATCAAGCACCCGGAACTGACCAAGCCGGCGCCCCTCACGCCCTCAGAGACCTCTGCCTCCTCCCAACTCGTCCACTCCGTCTCCTCGGACCCTGCCGACCGGCTGTCACCGTTCCTGGCTGCCCGGCACTTCAACCTGCCCTCGAAGACCGAGTCCATGTTTATGGCTGGCGGCAACGACTGCCTCATTGTTGGTGGGTACCTGCTCCCCTGTCCCGGGCTGGGCCCACGGCCTGGGAAGGAGGCACAGGGACTGAGCAGCTGAAGCCCCTGTGCTGGCCCTGGCAGGCCCTGGCGACAGGTGCCCCATCTGAGCCCCTGTGGTGGCTGAGCAAGGGACCCCAGGTGGTTGGGATGGGCCAGGCCTGGGGGCACGAGGGCAGAAGCAGGGTCGGCTCATGCTTCAGAATGGGCCACTGGCGGGATGAGGATGGCAGAGACTGGCCGTGTGCAGGCAGTGAGGCACAGTGGAGGGCCGTGGCAGGAAGGCAGCTGCTGACCTGAGTATCCTGCAGGGGGAGGGGGCGGCCAAGCTCTCTACATCGATGGGGACCTGAACCGGGGCCGCACAGGGCACTGTGACACCTTCAACAACCAGCCGCTGTGTGCTGAGAACTTCCTCATCGCTGCCGTGGAGGCCTGGGGCTTCCAGGACCCTGACACCCAGTGAGCAACCACTGCAGGTGAGTGGGCCTGGAGGCCAGCCCAGGCTCCAGGAGCGCTGGCTGTGCCCCCTGGAGCACCTTGTACTGGGTGGCGGGGTGTGGGTGGAGCTGTCTGCCCTGGGAAGGCCTGAGGAGCCATTGCCAAGTACCGGCCTGTGCTGCCCCCTCTTGGCGGTACATGGGACCGCTCTCTGGTGAGATCTCTGCCCACCCAGGAGTGCCTGGCCCCTAGGGACTGGAAAGCTGACCATGCGTTCCATGTTTCTGCAGAGCCTGAAGCTGTCATGGGCCTCACTGTGCAGTTACACCCAGGGAACCTGTGTCACTTGGTCCCCAGCCATCCTGCTGCATCTCCACAGCCTGAACCAGAGGACCCTTAGAGCCTGCCACCCTCACCTAGCCCCATGCTCCCCCAAGGGCCCTGTGGTCACTGAGCAGCCCTTGCCCACTGCAGGCCCCTCCTGTGAGACCCTGTCCTCTGCAGCCTGGAGCAGCCTCATCAGGTGGACTCTGCCAAGCCCTACAGTGAGCATCCTGCCTGAGGCCCCTCTTCTTCAGCTGGTCCTGAGGGTCTGGGTCCTGTGGACGCAGGGACAGTCCGAGCCCTGAGTGGTGTGCAGGCTGAGGCCGCTGGGCTCCACCCTTCCCCCTGTGTGTCCTGTGTGTGCAGCAGAGAGGGCCAGGAGCCCTGGTGGTCTTGGGCAAGCAGGCAGAACCCCTTTCCCCGACCCCCCACTTTGGTATACACCAAACACAGGCTTGTTGTGTTGGCTGCTGTGGTCCTGGTCCTGTCTCAGCCAGAGCAGCCTCCGAGGCTTCCTGGGCGGGGTGGGGGCTGGGGGAGAGCGGGTGGCACAGGGTGAGGGGAACTCTGGCACCTGTGTGCCCGGGGCCTATCTGCTGGAACAGGTCAGACTCAGACGACTGCTGGCTGTGCATCGCTCCGACTGGGGGTTCTGATAGGCTAAGCCCACAGCCTGGCCTCCCCCAGGCCTCCCCCCAGGCCTTCCCCATCAGCCCCCCCCCCCACCCCCCCTCGCGTCTCCCGCAGCCATGGAGCCTTTGTAGCTGAGACGGAGACCGTCTGCCTCCCTGTCCCCTCACCGGATGACAGCCTCAACTGGGGCGAGACCAGGCTGTGGCCAGGAGCCTGGAGTCTGTGCCGGGCGACGGGCATTCCCCTGCTGCCGCCCGCATGTCCGTGGAAGGCTGTGTCCGAAGAGGGGCTGCCGGGCCTGGCCGGGTCCCCCGTCATGGGGACAGGGTATCGCGGAGAGACTAAACCATCCAACACGAGCCCCTCCCCGGGTGTTTTTACGATTTTATAGTTAGTGATTTCATTCTTGTGTGTTCTGTTTTGAGGTAATTTCAAAGAAAACAGTTTCTTAGCCCTTCCCACCATTTGATGTTAACACGAGGACAGCCGGGTCGCAGGCTGACCCAGAGGCCTCGGGCTCGACTGCAACTGGATTTGTTTCTCGTTGACATTTATTTTGTTGTATTTTCACTTAATTCAGAATGTCTTCAAACTCAGATCTAACACTGTCTCCAACTGAATTCATTTGGATTCTGCTTTTAAAATTAACAAAGGAGTTTATTTTTAACAGATTTACAGAGGGAGGGAGATCTTCCATCTGCTGGTTCGCTCCCCGGAGGGCTGTGCCAGCAGGGCTGGGCCAGGCCAGGGCCGGAGCCCCGGCCAGGTCTCGGGCCATCTCCGTGCAGTGGGTCTGAAGCAGTGCTCACATGGGGCGCCAGCCTCGCAGTGGGGCCTTGTGTGCCGCTCTTTGGTGCTAGTTTGTCCTTGGGATTCCTGGAGCTCCCCTTCCTTGGCTGGAGGGCCTGGGTGTGAAGTTGTCAGATGAAGCACGGTGCCAAGCAGCCCCACACAAACTTTCCCTCCAACATCCTTGGTGGGAAGAAAAAATTAAAATCTGAGTTGACGGAAACAGATTGTCATTTGCTGGTCACTGTCCAAATGCCAGGATTCCCACAGGCGGGGCAGGGACCCTGCCCCTTGAGCCCTGGCGGCAGAAGCTGGGACACCGAGCAGAGTGGGGGCGGTGGTGTGTCACGGCAGGCTAAGCTACTGCCCGCGATGCCAGTGTCCTTTGTGAACACCGGTTTGAGTCCCGGCTGCTTCACTCCCAGTCCACTCCCTGGCACTGCAGGGACAGGTGGCTAGAGACCCTGATGGAGTGTCGGCTTCCTGGCTTGGCTTGACCCAGCCATGGGAGGGGAGGTGAACCATCAGATGGAAGAACTTCCTCTCCCCTCCCTCTTTCTAACTCTGCCCTTCAAATCAATAAATGCTATGAAAAAAAAAAAAAAAAAAAAAGAAGAAGTAGAGGCAAGACTTGAACGCGGGCCCTGTGATGTGCCCGTGGTCGTCCTGACGCGCTGTGACCACACCTGACCTACATGTGTGTCTAACACTGGCCAGGCTGAAGCCAGGGACCCAGAGTTCAAACTGCGCACCATGCGGTGGGGTGCTAAGGATGGCAGGGGGCCCACACTGGCACACAGGCCCATCAGCGCCATGCCTAGGTACACCGTGAGATACCCTGCTGTGCGGGTGTGTGACCTGAGCTAGTGTGGAGCCTGTCTTCAGGGCTCCCACGCGTGGCTACCGGCCTTGCTGCCCGCGCACACGCTGGGTCACGGGTGGACGCTCTTCCCCGCCCCCTTGTGGAAAGAACAGGAACAGCACCTCCCCATACGCACTGCTGCACGCTGCAGACGACACACCTGGCTGGGCATGTACAAGCTATGGACGAGGGACACGTGTGGCCCTGCGCTTTGGGTTGCAGGCCCAGCCTGGCTTCCTGCTACCACTTGCTGTGGCCTCAAGCAGTGGCCCCATCGGGCCCTTCCCACCCCCAGATGCAGCTGTAGGCTCCATCCTCAGCCTTCCTCTCCCTGCCTCTGGCCATGGAATGTATTTTGGGACTGAACCAATGGAGTGAAGGGCCCTGTCTATCTCTCATTTCTCTCTCTGCCTTTAAATAAAATCCTAGACTGAAGGAGGAAGCACATGCATGGTGTTGGCTTGTGGTTGGGATGGCAGGAAGTGGTGGCTGGGAGGTGCCTCCCTGGTGGAGTTCCCGGGCACGTGAGTGGAGCAGAGACGTGCCAGTGCGGGACAAGTGCTGTGCTCAGTTGTCAGCCTGCGAGTGTGTCCTCAGTGAAGTGCCCCAGTGCTCACACAGCAGCCTCCCATGCAGTCCTTGCTCCTCACGGGAGCAGCTCAGCAGGTGGGCTGCCCAGAGCATGGCAGGGAGCAGGGGGTACTGTCCCGGCCGGACCATGGAGTAGACGGGGTCAGCGGGGCCGAGCTTCTCCCCCAGAGGAGGTAGGTGTGGCACCCCTGATTGCTCTGTCTCCTGTTTCCAGCTCTGCCCGGACAGGAGGCGCCTGGCCCCGGCCAGAGAGGGCTTTATTTGGAACTTGCTGTAAGTCCACGCGGACATTCCTCCCAACACCTGGCCATTAAGCAGTGGGCCCCTTCCCTCTCTGGAGGCCAGCCCCTGCCCAGCCAGTTCCGATTCTCCAGAGTCCAGCTCCAGCTGAGTTTGGAGCTCGGGAAGGGTGCGTGGAATCGGCGATAAAGGACACAGACACTGACATTTGTTGCGTTTTTGCTGCTTCCTTGCTCAAGAAGAAGCTGTCCTTTTTATTTACTTAGACACATCACAAGTCTCTGCACAAACATTTGATTTTTTATCTTTAGAACTAAGCATGCACAGATGTTCAATTAATTTTTACTTCATGGTCAACCAGGTGCTCTTAAAGATAATTCTGTAAGTTACTATAATCAGTTTCTTTAAAGCAAGCCGTTATTCATTCTTCAGAAGTGGCCACTAGGTGACAGCCTGAACTCCAAGGCCAAGGCACAGATGGTTACCTGCTAATCAGTAAAACATTCCTACTACATTTAATTTTCACAACTTATCACTAAATGGGAGAAATACATCAAAAGGGAAAAAACATAAAGATGGAAGACAAAAAGTTTCAAACATTAAATCCCCCTACAACTGCAGCCTCTACAACCTCATAAACAATCAAGCAATAATCAAAAGTATATCTCTATGATGTTAATAGAATCACCCTATATTTCCTCTAGTTAAAAGATTATGAAAGTGGCTAAAGCAGCTACATTTTCTATGCTCTAAAGAGTTGCAAGGACAAGCTAACCTTTAAGGTCACAGCAACTATATTTTTGCCATAGCAGTTTCAGCTCATACTCCCATCACTTCCATTAGTTTGTAAAATTCTTGTTAAGCCGTTTCCCAGAAGGCATGCTGTATGTCTGGGCCCGATTTCAGGGCAATGGGTAGGCACACAATAAGGTGTCCAGAAATGGCATGGGTTTAATTGTAGGTTTAATTGTACTCCTGTGTGCAAAGGCCCACTCACTAAGACATTATCAATAACATTAACTCTTAAGCTCACAGTAGTTGCCAAAGCCATCTCACAGGGGCAAACAATGACTCAATAGATTACAGAATTCTTAGTGGGGTGGTTGAGTGTCCATGCAAACAGGGGGTGAGACTGCGTCAAGGTGGTCAGAGAGAAATCCGCCGAGCCCTGCCAAACAGCTGGAAGCTCCCCAGGCCCTGCCAAGCAGGGAGCTGTTCTCTTCACACCTTCGTGTCATCCACACCTACTGCACGGACCCCAGCACAAGACCTGCCACCAGGTGGATGTGCCCCACCCCTCTTCTCAACTGTCCCCTGCTTTACTGGGGAGGTTGCCCGGTGAGTGGCCCCGGGATGGCCAGACACAGCCACACAGACCCTGGCTCTTTGTCCCTGTGGTAGCTGGGCCTTCCAGCTACACTCCAGCATGAGCAGACACCACCAGCAGCTCTGCAAAGCTAGTGTCCTGCAGGGTGGGCCACAGGCACCCCCTGCGCTGTGGTGGGGTATGCTGTCTTGCCCAGCAGGGTCTAGGTATCAAGGTGCTGACACAGGCTGGGGCTGGTGGGGACAGAGGCTGCCCTGTGCAGGAGGTGGGGTGCTGTGTGGGAAGGAAGCTGTGCCAGGAGGCAGAGCTCAGGGTCACTGGAGCGTCCACGCCGGCCAGGGCTGTGCACAGCAGGTCGGATGCCCCACTTGGTTCGCCAGATTGCTGTCCACCCCACTCTGGCCCCTGGTCTGCGATCACCCCTGGGGGTCACGCCCATCCAGGGTTTGGCTGATGTACTCTGAGTCACAAACCAGGCGGTGCCTCAGCCTTGCTCAAGATCCCTTCCCCTCTGAGGTCCACCTCAGAAACCCCCTTGCCAAGGTTCCCCACCTCCCTGCCCAATAACCACTTTCCTGGAAGGGCGTGAGCCCTGGGGTCCAGAGGCCCCTTCCTCAAGCCTGCTGGGGTGCAAGCCCAGCCCAGGCCTGGGCTCATTGCAAAGCAGCTGGCCCTTGGGCTCCCTGACCACCTGTTGGGGAGCCCCAGGGAAAGGGG